GAGCAGGCACCAGCTGCGGGGAGATACGGTCGGGCCTCAGGCGTGCAAAGGACAAAGGTGTGTCTCGCCTGGAATAAGCTGGAGTTTTTACTGCCTGCTCAAAATGTGTTCCGCTGCCTGATGGAGCCCTGACGTGACACGTGAAAGCATCTGTCAGCTTCGGCTTTTTGGTTTTGTTTGAGCTTTAGTGTAATTTTTAAGCTTGTTTGATAGCCCATTGTTTCTGAACCAGTCTTCCCCTTTTTTTCACGCTAAGGGCACTGTAATTGGCTTTTGTTCCTTAGCTGTTGTCAGGAGCCATAATCCCCTTTCTTTATGTAATCAAACCTGACCAGATTTCCTGTCGGGAGGTGGGCATCCAGGCAGTGCACAGTAATCCACTGTGGTGTCTTTGGGTTTCTTGCACTTTGGAGTTCTCGCTGGGTCACAGTGGGGTTTGGGAGTGGTTAAAGTTGTTACCTGGTCTGATGTGTTGCCTTATATCTCAGTATTTGGGTAGAGCTCTGGAAATGCAAACTCACCAGAAAACTTTGTAGTTCAAATTTAAATGTCGTTGTGGCTTATCTTTGTGATGGAGGTCTTTCTGAGCTTTCCGGGCCCCCCCTTATCACTCTTCTATCCCACTTCTTTCAGATCTACATGTTTCCCGACCAGCTCTTCCTTTCCAGCCTCCACCCCTTTCCCTTTTCTTACTGGACAAGGAGAAAAAGCAGATGCAGTTCACTCTTCATTGTAGGATCCTGTGATGGGACCTTGTGATTTCATCTCTTTTATCTTGACTTTTTAAATTTAAATCAGCTTATTGCATTAGATCTAATGAATGTTTTTGCAGTCTGTCATGATTTTTAAAGGTGATGTGAACTGTGGTTTAATCCAGTGTGCTCTATCTGCGTTATTGGTTTACATCTGAATAACACATTAGTTACCTATAGATCTAAAGGAAAATTGAGTGCAACTGTGGAAGTAATAGTTTTGCTTTACCACCTGCCACTTTCCCCTAAAATGAGAAGTTTAATGAAACCATTGTGGGGGAAGAGCAAATCTATAACGTATTCTTATAATCTGAGTATTTTATGTTCATGTGTGCTACAGTTTTTCCCCATTTGGTGTGGGGGTTTTTTTGTGGTTTGTTTTTTTGTTGTTGTTTTTGTTTGTGGGCTTTTATTTAAGTTACTATGTAAGGCCTACAGATAATCTTAAGGGATAATAATTTCATGGATTTTTGTAATACCATCTGAGTGTGGATCTTGTGTCTTCCAGTAAAAATTACAGTTCTATATATCGAGATAAACTTATGTTCAGACATCACTGGATGACATGATGTGACCTGACGCTAGCATTTTGTGATATTAGAAACAAAAAAAAATACTAGACTCAGTGAAACAGTTTAGCAGTATAAAATGATATGCAGGAAAACTGCTCAAAGTTTCCATTTCAACTTGGAAGATTGTGAATGTCTTGTTAGGGTTTTGCAGGTTTATCAGACTTCTCTGTTACAAGGGAGTTTGGGCTGTTGTACCCACAATCACCTGATATTTATGTTCCAGGAATCCTGTTCCTTCTGTGGATGAGATTATATTGTTTTCAGACTGCCATTTTCTAATTAGTAATCTGCAGAAAAAGCAACTCAACTGGCCCTTTTCCTCGAAAGCCTACCCTTCCTTTTGGCAGGAAGAAAATGCTTGAAGGAGCTGTTCTTAGTTAGTCTTCCAGTAGTTGCAATTTGTGTAAAAACAGTAGTAAATGATTAGTTAGTGGCATTTGAGGTGACGTAAGTAATGACATAAGAGTGTAGTAATAGGAGTGTGAACCCCTCCCCTTACCAGACTGTAATGGACAAGCTGCTCTGTGGTGGTTGGGAATGGGATGGGCTTTTACTCTTCGAGCTTGGAAACACTTCTTTCATTCATGACTTCTGCCTGAAGGTGGAGGCTCACTTTGATGTAATATCTCCTTCTAATAATTTTGCAGTGTAGACTTAAAAGGTTGATTTGGCTGTAATGACCCAGTTGTATATAGAACTGTAAAAGTTCCTTCTGTGTGAGCTGGTCACATTCGGGCAACTTGTGTATGCATTTTGCATTCAATAAAGATAGATGGATGGATTAGATGATTTAATTATATGATTTGTTTCAGCAAGTGCTAACATTAAGTATCTCAGTATGAGAGGTTTAAAACTTCAATAAAAAGGAAAACAGAACTTTTAGAGCTCTCGTCAGTGTAGAAAATCATTAGTATCTCCCTATCTGTGAACAGGTTTTCTAAGAAGAAAAATTTTTGATCCATAGCACCACCTTCCTTAAGGGATGGAGTAATGTCTGAAAAAGGATATAAACCAGAACGACCAGTTCAAATTTAGGTTTCAGGATAACTGAGATGAGAAATCAGAGTGGCAGCATTGTTGGATTACAATGATGCTGGAAACCATATTTCTGTCAAACTACTATTTACCATGTTGCTCAGTATTGCTAAAATGAAGTTTTCTTTTAAGTGTATGTGTGAAATATACCATCATGCTCTTCACTAAGCAATCTTCACACTGCTGAGAAGATTTATAGACATATTAATAAAAAAGCCCTTTTTATATACAAATACTCTTCTCTGTAATTAGTAAAAAATAATTTCAGCACCATTAATATTGTATTATGATGAATGTGTACAAAGTTTTTGAGAGCAACTGGCAGTACCTGACATCTTTTTAAAGAGCCTGTTAAGCACTGGTGGTAATACATTTATAAATAAATTCCACTATTCCCTTTACTGCCACTGAACCTTCTCATGAAGTCAGTTTGCTTTTATGTAGCACTGCATAGATTGCAGCATTTTTCTGGTCTTTAGGTGTGAATACTATCGAAGTTGGTTTTATTTGACATGTGATGGCAATTAAAACAAACTTGGACAGCGCAAATTACTTCTGTTGTGTCTTTCTTTCTTACTGCAAGTTTAAAAATCCCACCAGAGAAGTTGTTAAAAATGAAGTTTGACAGTCAGAAATGTTTCCAGTCCTATTATGTTCTTAACTGGTAAGCTTGTTAGGGATTTAATCGTAAGCCAGGTTCTTCTGCAAATGCCTGATTTTGAACAGGCTGTCAAGTGATGAGATCATCATCGTCATGAGGAGCTGCTGCTCTGGAGAGCGGCGGGCAAACCCCTCCGTTCGGTTTCGCTTGGTTCCCTGGCATGGAGCGCATGGCTTCGCTCTCTCCCGGACAAATGAGACTGAAGTACAAACTGCTCGTGGGTTAATAAGAGTTGGCATCAATTTAATGTCAAGTGAAATGAATTGTCTGCTGGATTTCATAGAATCATAGAGTGGCCTAGGCTGGAAGGGACCTTAGAGATCGTTTAAATCTAACCTCCCTGTCGTTTTATTTAGCTAAATGACATTACATTGTATTTCATTGTTACTGGAAACACAGCTTGGAACAGCACAGATTGTTTTACCGAATCTGAATAGTTCATCGAACATTGATTTGTCTTATTTTAAAAAACAAAACACCCTCCACCTCCAAAGGTATATATCCCACAGTTTCCCAGGGAAATCTATTTCTAGCTTTTAATCGTCTTTAAAAGCTTTCTCTAATGTCCAATTTAAATCTTTGTGCTGAAAGTTAAATGCACTACTTCTTGTCCTGTTTGCTGTGGACAGGGCAGTAGCTTTTTAAAATATATTAAAGGTAGCTACAATGAGAATCTGTTGTATCATCAGGTTTTACTGTGGGAGAAGGGACACAATTATGAAATATACAAAATTCAAGTAATCTTTTAATGGTCTTCGTTACCTCTGGACTTTCTTTTATTTCCCAAGGACACTGTGCAAAATTGCACCAAAATGCTCCAAGAGAGATCTGGAGAACTCTCAGTATCAAGTAGAGCAGAGGATTTCTTCATGAGGTTGTGAATGACCTTCCTTCTCTCAGTCAGGTTAACACCCTCTCGCCCTTTGTTTTCCCGTTAGTCAGGGTGTGTTGTTGAACTTAAAAACTTTCAAATTTGTCCTTAGATTTTTATTGATGATGGAATAATGGTTATGTGTTTGAAAACATGATGTGCAATTAATGAGAGTGAATAGCTACTGTCTTAAACTTGTCCTGGGAAATTATTTCTATGAACTAACAGTATTTTCAACCTGACTAACTCGTAGTTCACGGAAGAAAAGCTTGGTCAAGCAGAGAAGACTGAACTGGATGCTCACCTGGAGAACCTTCTCAGCAAAGCAGAATGCACTAAATTGTGGACAGAAAAAATAATGAAACAAACAGAAGTATTATTGCAGCCAAATCCAAGTAAGGAGTCCTTCAGGTTTTTGTTTACAACTTTTGAGTTAATAGATTTGCAAATGTAAGTGTTTACTGCAGTAGGTATTACATAAGTTATGACTAAATATAGCAGTTTCAAAATTTGAGGGCTGGAGCCAGGGAAGGCACACTCAAGAGCTATTGAGAATCAGAAACACTGTACCAATTGCTGATATTTCTTTAATGCTTCAAATGGGAAAAGCTTTAAACAGAGCTCTTTAAACTACAGCATTATTTCCATACTCTGGTCAGTCTCAAGCTGACTGTTTTTGAGTTGTTCCTGTTTAATTGAATTTCCCATTCTAATTCCAGAAATCTTAAGTAGCTCTAAGAACTCTGAAGTTCTTCATGGGGTAGATGCAATGGCTCAAGAAATTTCATTACTATTTCATTGCTTTAAACTATTTGCACAATACAATTCCGCTTGAAGCAGGCAGGAGGAACTGAAATGTCTGCCTTTAACAATTCTTCTAATAGAGAATTATTAGATTAATACAATACAATAAAGTTTCAAATGTTTTTGTCAGTGGTAAATCTCTTACTGTAAGAATAACAGAAAAAACGTGGGTAGAAATGTAATTTTCTGGACTGTTAATTTTATTTGTTTCTGAAATTGCTGCTATGAGTAGTGATGTTGAGGATATAAGTTTCAGTTATCTGATATAAGTTTCAATTATCGCAGTTTTCTGTGTCATTCAGAACAGTTGCACTAGTGTTGGCAGCTATAGGAATTTACTTGGTGTACAGATCTACATTTCATGTCAAGACCTTGTCTCTAGTCACTGGGCAAACTACTGTTACCGAAAAAATCTAAACCTCCTTTAGGTTCGCTCCAGTGATAAAATTATGATGTTACTAATACCTCTGCACTGAAAACATGAAACAGTGAAAACCGTAACATAGTGACATAGTGAGTTAGCATTTATTAGTGCAGGTAAATCTTACACTGATAGCACTTCCCTACTGCCAGGGAGTTATTCTTTATAATGTTGTTCTTGGAAGTATTATCCTGCAATTCTGTTGCATCCTTTAGTTCCATAAAAGCAGTAGTAAAGAAACTCAGACATAAAACCCAAAACAACTAATCCTGTGGGAAGAACGCAATGGAACTTAGAGAAAATTCCAGCTCAGGTTTCTACATTGGCTAGACCAGAAGAAATAGTTGTCTTATCAATTTAATTCAGTATTTGTGATACCCATTGGCTTTTTCAGAAATTTATAATTGTAGAATATTGAATCACTAACTGAAAACTGGTAGAACTATGTGAGGAAGATTTAGTAGAAGGGTAATATGTGACAGTATTTCAGTTATGCTGACCAGTCGATTTTCTGATGGCTAAAAATACTTAGTTAAGCAGTGGTGAATGTAACTTCAGCTGCCTGGCTGTCTGCTTGGGAGGACGATCACCTGCTCTAGAGAGCTGCTTTTGGTTGTTAATGGAATGACCCTGTGCAGGGGAGGAAAAATTACTTTCAGGCACATTTTTCATTGTGCCTTTAGGTCAGACCCATATAATAGTCCAGTAATTACTTTTGTCCAGATTACTTTTGAGTTGTTTTGTCATCTAGTCAAAAATAAATATTATGGATCGATTAAAGAGAAAACAGTGATTTTTGATATTTTTTTTGGTTCAGCCTTGGTGCTAGCGAATGCCCTGGTACTCACGTGTGTCTGTGTTGGGTTAAGTTTTGTGACCTTTGTAAGTGAGTAGATATTTAATCCATGATGGAAGTTGTCTAGTTAACAGTATTCTTTTGGGTTGCCTCCAAGCGACAGGGATGTTCACTGGGAAGCTTCTTTGTGGTTGCTTGTACTGTTGCAGGCTGAATTGCTGAGTGCATAAATGAAGTGAGCAGTCCTGGAGTCAGCACAGTTGGTCAGAGACATCAGGGGTTGCATCTGAGGAGCTGGTGATTAACAGGGTCCCTGTTCCTGTCTGTGAGGCCTTTTCACCTGAACAGCGAACTGGGGCTTAATATTATGAGAGATGGACATCATGAACGTGTAGTCATGATAAATTTGTGGGGAGTTTTGTTGCTCAAACTGGGGAAAAATGGGAATGCGAAATGAAACACTTTCTAGTATCTTTAGTGTTTTCTTTTAGAGCTTTTAAGGAAGCAGGGGAAGTAAGAGAGGATGAAATTTCTGGAGCTACCAAGCTTTCAGAATATCTTAGTAGGGAACCTACAGGACTTGTTGAACTTAATTCTTACCGTGCTAATTCTGGTGAACTGTTTTCAATATTTTTCCTGGAGGTGGAAGAAGAGACTATTTGGTTTTATTAAGGAGAGGAAAAATATCATTTTTCACTTTCACAGGCGGCTCTAACACACTGGAGCAGAGCATGGCAAACATGGAATACAGTCCATTTCCAAGAACAGTATCTTCAGCTTTACGTTCTTTACTTAATGTTGAATTTAATGTCCAGATTTGAGATTATTTTTTCTTTCCTTTTTTCTTTGTTTTGTTTCTATTTCTAACTTGTGTTTTGAGTGACAGTAATTATTCCTAATAAACATTTTTTTAGATGCCAGAATAGAAGAATTTGTCTATGAGAAACTGGACCGCAAAGCACCAAGTCGCATGAATAATCCCGAGTTGCTAGGCCAGTATATGATTGATGCTGGGAATGAATTTGGCCCTGGAACGGCTTATGGTAAGTTAAAAGAGCAAATATGTCTTGTCTTGCAGAACAAAGAGGGTAAAAACCGGACAGATCGATTATTTTAACAATGTAAAATGATATTTGTCTTTCGATAAAATAGTTCAATGTCTTTTGTATCAGTTTAAGATGACTTGCTGTATAAATGTGAGCATTGGGAGATCAATGATAAGGCTTCTATCCAAATTAGAAATAAAACCTGCTGTTGGAATGGTTTTGTGGATGGGTAGTTTTCTTACTAGAACTAATAATTCCAGAATTTAGTTTCCTTTTTACACATTTGCACATCTGACAACTTCTGTGCATTTTAGTTGTGGTATGGAGTGAAAATGTTACCAAGAATTAACTTCTTCGACAAGAAGACTTTGTAACTTTATAGTATTCCTACTTTTATTAATATATAATACTTTGATAAAGATGAGAGTGTAGAACATAATCTAAATTTTCTTTGCTTCTCCAGCAAATTTATATGCCAATAACATGAGAGTTGAGGTTGTTATATCTAATGTTTTTACCTTAGCATTAATAATAAAATCCAATTCTCGTGTTCTCTACAACCCTTGAAGTTGTTTATAAAAGATGAGCTGTTAATTTAGCTTAACCAGCTGAAATGCATAGGTTTGTGCATATATGATATAGTCTGCAGTTGAAGTCTGATTGTCATTAATAAAAATGCTTTATTGTGGGGGGTTTTTTGTTGTTCGATTGGTTGTTTTTTGGTTTATTGGAGGTTTTTTTCTTGTTTGTTTTTTTGTAACTGGTTTGGATTTCTTGTGAAAGCCCTTGTCATGGCATTGGACTATCTTTCGAATTGCTGGCCTAAATTTTCCTGCTTGCAGAAACCTGTTTTGTCAGCCACCTGCCTGAATCACTTAGAGACTAACTTTTTTTTTATTTTTTATTTTTTATTTTCAGGAAATGCACTCATTAAATGTGGAGAAACACAAAAACGAATTGGGACAGCGGACAGAGAACTAATTCAAACTTCTGCTATAAACTTCCTCACTCCCCTAAGAAACTTTATTGAAGGAGACTACAAAACTATTGCTGTAAGTTTAACTGTGTTCTTCAGCATTTCACACCAATCCTTAACTGTAAATCTTCAAAATGAAGTAGTAGGTAATTGTACATTATTGCTTTCCTCAAGCTAATCTAGAAAAACTCAGGTAGAATTTGTGCTGTTGGTGTATATTGCTTCCTTTTGACCAGGTAGAATCAAAATAATTCTGAAAACTTAGTTTCTGTAGTTATAGTTCTATTTAAAGTATGTATCTTGAGTATAAAACATGCGATAATAATTAGAATCTAACTCTGCTTCTTTCTTCAACTGACGAACCTTTTTGTATGTGGTCCTTCATGGAAAAAAATTTCCATGTAATCAGGCTTTTGCTGTTGAGTTATGTGTACCTATTCTCACAAATTAACCTGACTCACTTTCAGAAAGAACGTAAACTATTACAAAATAAAAGACTAGATTTGGATGCAGCAAAAACCAGATTGAAGAAGGCAAAAGTTGCAGAAGCTCGAGCTGCAGTAAGTAGATTTTCAATTTATTTTTTTTATTTTATTTTATTATTTTATTTATTATTTTATCTATGCCTTTCAACTTACTGATATATATTTATAAACTCAACTACTTGGTTATGTTTCCAGTCGTAGCTTCTTGTCCTCGCTGTTTTTCTGGATGTTTTGTAAGAAGTGTCTCAGTGGAACACAAGGAAATGGAAGCGAATTACTGATCAGGGTGTTAGTCTTCTCTTTTTAGATATTCCATCAGCTTGAGCTTCCTTGACCTGAGTAAATACTCTCCCCTTGTTCTATACTAGGTGAGCCTGTACTGCCAAAACTGACTTCCTGCGATCTGCCAAGATGGTCGTAAATACAAATCATTCAGAGGTCGAGTTTTGTCGTTTGAATCCCTGCAATGTTGAAGCATATGTATAATTACTTCCAACTGATGCACCTATCTGTACTTAACTTCTCTGTTTCACTAACGCTAGTAGCTTACCCTTTCTTTATTGTTCACTATTTCACACAACCTTTTAAACTCGCATCTCTTAACCATGCTTATTCCCTCAGGAAATGGTTGTTCAATGAGATTAAAATTCCTATAAATTAAAAAGCACTTGAATTTTAAACTCTTATAATGTCTTTAAATGGAGGAATAGATAATTAAATGTGTGCAGTTTCATGAGGGTATGCCAGGAGTGTTTTCGTAGCTATCTTTTGACTGCTTTTCTAAAAGTGTAACAGCTAGTGATGGATAGTGATTTTCCCCATAAGGGCTTATTCACAGAGGTGCTGAGGGAATACAGAAGGCAGCCAGTGGTGGAATTTGGAAGCAATGGACAGAGAAGCAATGGATAGTAAACTGTTCCTTTGCTGGTGTGACAGCAGGTATATGCCTTCCTTTCTGAAGCAATAGAAAGACTTCTCTTAGAAGAAAGGCTCTATACTTGAGTTTTAGTTCGTCACTTGTGTAATCATCCAGAGTTTGGTGCTTGGACAAAATTACTGACAGTTGCTGCTGCTTGACCAGTCTTAAATACTCATATAACAGGTAATTCACAGGTTTATGCAAAAATAATTTAGTGCTGGTAAAGCATGAGATTCTAGGCCTCTTACTTCACTACGTTGCCTACTTCAATTTTAATTACATTTGAACAGCAGTGTGCGTGTTTAACAAGTATTGGATTGTAGAATTCCCAGAGAACTGACAAAATTGCATCTCTGCTTTACCCTCTACACTACAGAAATGAGAACTAACCTGGATATAGGTGTAATGCCAACAGTTATCTTCCTTCAAAAATGGGTGATCTAGCAGAAGATAGCCTGACAAACGGTGCTGAACAAAGCGTGTGGAGGCTAGCAAAGCGTATGGAGTTATCATGCAAACTTCTACTTACTACTTTCTGGGACAGGATAAAGTGATAAATTACATACAGATTTGTTTCTTTTTTCCACTGGTATAAAAATATTTAATAGTTGATGAAATTACCTTCTCCTGTGCTTACTGTACAACTCAAGCAGCTTAAATCAGTATTTGAAACAATTTTATTTGTGTGTATTCAGTTCACAGTCTTGCTTAGCTTAAACTTGCAGTGCTTTGTGCCAGTAATCTGTTCACCTGCTGTATTCGGTGTTGTAACTTGCCTCTTCTCTTATCTGTACACTTAAGCAACTAAACACCTCTCAGCCTGAAGACAATAACATTATGGTAAATGTCTCTTACGTGCTCAACTTGCTGCATGTAAAATGGCTAAAGGTTTGTGGGCCTCCTGTGTTCATTCATTTTCCTATCAAATGTTTCCTCTTGCTATCCAGCTTATTTTGGTCTCGTTTCGGATGGTTTCCATTCCAAACTGGATTGGTATAGTGTACTCAACACACTTACCTCAGTACAGCACTAAGTGTTGTTTTTATCAGAGTATTTCTGATAATCTGAAGCATACAGTATTGTAGTTTATATGAGTTTAGGAATGTAAACATAGGATGTGCAAAGGAGTTGATTTTTTTTTTCACTTCTGAAATCAGTTTAGTCTGTTGGAGGGAAAGGAGTTATTTAATTTCTATTTGTTTAATATGAGGAGTGAAATTTGTGAAAAAGCCAGGAATATGTGGAAATATTCCCTTTCAAACAATTTTTTTACAAATAACTGAAACTGAGTACTGTCATGAAGTACTGGCTTAACTCATGAGTACAGTGTGTCCTAAACTTGTTGCAAGGATGCATTAATGCAGCTGGTTTTAGCACCATAATTGTGAAAGTAGAAAAGCAGGGGATTAATTAATTATCTGCAAGACAGACTGTGCTGTTCAGCCTCTCCTGGTTTGGGTTGTGGATCTGCACAGCACAGTGGGTTTTATTTCAATTAGTGTTTTGTATTTCTCAGTTGTGATCAAATGAAAGAGCGAATAAACTTGTTTGTTGCCACTTGCTTCTGCAACTTCTATACACAGTTCATGCTAGGGAAGTCCTGATGGTGTCATCTTCATCCAACTGCAGAACATAAAAGTTACAGAACCACATTGCAAGAGGGAGTGGGAACAGCAAGCTCACGTAATTAACTTCTAGAGTAGGCTCCTTGCAGTTCTATTATTCTGCTGTACTACTTGCCAAAACTTTAATACTCACTTTAAGATTCCTCTGCAGCATTTTAAATTAAATTCGGATTTCAGTAAAAATGCTTGTGAAACAGGAAACCGATAATGAAATTAGCAAGAGAAATCATTCATCTGTTACAGTCTTTACTTAATGTGGTGCTCAAATGAGAATAGCTTTCCATAGTTTTCCAGTATTTTAACACATTAGTGTAACTTCAGTTCCTCCGTAAGGTGATTTAGTTTGTCTGATTCGTGTCATTTTCTAAGTAGTTAATGTCTTAAGTTGTAATAGCTTGTTTTAAATAGATTGTTGTAACATAAGTTTTTTAAGTCATATGCTCCTTCATATCTAACTTACTTCACAGATGTAGTGCCATCATACTTGTAATTTCATTGTGTGTGACGGACTTTGGGCAACTGATGTAGAGCACTCCTCAAATACCTGTGAAGTTCTGAGGGCAGGAAAGTAGTTAAAAGCCAAAGTATGTTTGCATCCTCTGTTAAAGTACCACCAATGTCTAAGTTTATATGTTTTTATTTCCCTCCCTCCCCCTTAATGCTGACTAGATATGGGCTGAGGAAGTGACGAAAGTAAGTAAACAATTTAGAAATTGCAGAATTCTGAAACCACAACTTGTACTGGTCTGATGTAGTAAAGGATATTGCATGTTGGTGATTTTGGTCGAATGCTGGCAGCCTGATGCGTTGTATCAGAATACAGTGGTTTCCTCTAGGGCCTTTCAAACTCCGGTGGTGAAACAATGTCTGGGGATTGTTTTAGAGTAAGCTGTTTCTGGCTGACGATCACTTGTCACATGAGGATCATATGGTCGTAAGATACAGCAGAAAAAGAACTACAGGACTTGTCTCTCAAAACGTACTAGTAAGGCATCCTGTTAAAAGTTACCTTAATTGAAAATTTTCAGAAAGGTTGGAGTCTAGTAATCTAGATTGTCCTGAAAAACACTGATCTTCAACTTTTACCCAGAACATGGAACAGTAATTACAATGTTGGTGTGCATGCAAGAAATTCAGAGAAAACTCTGTTTTGGAGGAGTATTTTTTTTTTTTTGATTGTTCTTCACCTTTCTCCTCAGTGTCACTGTGGAATGCTGTGCTTATCTTAAGCAGCTGAAATTAGGAGGTAGATGCATCTGCAAACTGAGTTTGGGGTGAAGGCTGGCTCATAAATGTAGCATTAGCCTTGGGATGGGTTTGCAGCCTTCTTTTGTCAGGCCATCCCTTGCACAGGGACAAACTCGGTGGGACTAATGGAGCGGTAGGTGACAGCTGCTCCAGTGCCATGACAAGGGCTGTTCCCAGGCTCACTGGCTCTAACAAAGCAGTTATTGGAAACAGGCTGGGAAAAGCTATGCTAACATTTAAGAAATTTCTTAGGAGATTTCTGCAGAGGAGGAGAAATAAAAAGAGTAGCAGTAGAAAGTAAGGGTAGCTGGAGGGCAGGGTCTTTAGAGTATGATTTTTAAAGGGGGACTAGATAGGCAGCTGTGAGAAGTGCAGGGAGTTGCTGTTAGAAGCTGGGATGTGGAGCTTTGGGTGAAATCTTGGGTGATATGAGAGAATAAATTAAGGTTTTTCTCTATTCCAGCTTTCTGTGAGTTATGGTGCAAACGGGAGTATATACCTGAAGTGTGAGAGTTTAGCAGGAAGCGAGCATTTAGAGGTGGAACGATAAAAACAGGTTTAGATCAACACTGATCCCAAAGTTTGAGAATTGTTTTACTATTTAAGAAAAGGAACGGTTTGGAAGCAGAAAAACTCTGTTGGAGCACTTGGTGCTATTTTGGGGAAAATATGGCAGTGGAACAGTACTGCTGTAACAGAAACTAATCTTGAAGCTATGATGAAAAAACCTACTTGCTTTTCAGAGATGGTGACAAGCAACTTGAAGCATAGTGAAATCGAACAGATTCTGTCTTAGAAAAAAGAAAATAATTGAAGGTGCTTAACCGTAGCATAAAGGAGACTAAAAACTTTAAGTCTTGTAATAAATTCTGTAATTCAAGGTTTCCTTTTCTATTAAGCATATAAAAGACAGAGACTACTAAGAAGAAACTGCAGCACATGTTTGGCCAAATAGTAATCCGTCTTGATTTCTAAAAGTAATCTATCCTTCTGTGTTTGAAAGCTGCAGGAAGAGATTCATAGATGTTTTCAATTTAAGTCTAAGAATGTAGCTTTTCAGACTGTCCAGTAATCTCTAGATCAGTTACAGAGTTTTTCTGAGTTACAGCAAAAGATCAGCACGGTGTCAGCGACAAACTTTCTTCAGTTTAGCTTCTCCTCTGAAGAGCAGAATTAGAGAATATTCAATAATGTGCTATAAACACATGGGGTAGGTAGCAATGTTACACACTTTTTAAACAGGTGCTCGTATGATTTTGTGTGTTATCCCTTAGCTACAGGATTGCACAGCATTTCTGATGGGTCATATATTTGTATGTGAAATTTGGGGAGACTATGAATTTCTGAGCAGTCATATTCAGAAACTGGGTTCATATTCTAAATTTGGAGATCAAGTACCATTTTGGGGCATCTTCGTGGGAGACAGGCAGTGAGGCCTTCTGGTTATTCTAAAACCAAAATATTACTGCAGCTGAGGGTCACTGGAAAGTTGAGGCTTGTATTTCGAGTTCTTCATTCTGTTGAGAAACCAAGATGATCAGGCCATAAACTTCCTAGACTGCAAGTCGGCTGTTTTTAGCTTTACCGTAGGGTGTGGGATAGATCCACTGTCCTACTACTGGTCATCCAGCAGGAGTGAAAATAGGGATGGACAGACCAGCCTCAGTGCATTGTTACAGAGCTCCATGTGGGTCAGTCTCTACGAAGCCAGTACAGTGGGCTTTCGTAACACAATTTATTTAAAGTCACTACATGCTGGCAAAGTTCATACATGTTACCACATTACTCATGTTACCTTTTCTTATAGAAGGTAGTTGATTTGCTAAAATATTGTTGAAACAAATAATTATTTTGATGGATATTTCTCCATATCAGTTCCTGTTCTCATGTATTTGCTTACCTGGCAGTAAGACAGAAACACAAAAGCAACTACTGACTTCAGAGAAGGAAGAGGCCAAACTATTTATCTCTAAATAAATAGTTTAACTATGATTTTGGTGGTTTTTTCTTGTTATGTTTGGGTTTTTTTGGTGGGGTTTTTTTTTTTGGTTTGTGGTTTTTTTAGAGGAACTGAAGGTGTTGCTAATACAGAAGGGAATGCTTTTCTTCACCTCCTGGCTATCAGATTTGCTTTTTTCCCCTCTATTCTTACATTTCTCTTGTGGACTGCTAGATGGATTGCATGGATATTGATAAAGATTTAATAAAAAAATTCCAAGCAAGGATTCTTGCATCAACAAACTTTGAAAACTGATTAGTTTGTAACTTGATACATGTGTTTCTATGTCAGTTTTGAGTAAGAAACACACAGTACTTGATAGCTGCTTCCTCACTGTTTAATTCATGTGTAAACCTTCCCAGCTGCAGTGACTTCAGATGAGAAACATTTCTTGGATAACTGCATCATTATTCTCTGCTCATTTCTGAGATTAAGATCCTACCATGTGACTTTTTGTATTGATTAACATTAGCAGAGTGCAAACACAAGATCCTTTTGAAACCAATGTTTTATCCATATCACCTCATTAAGTTTCCCGAAAACGTATTTCCTCTACTCAGTTTTGTTGAGAACAGTAACTGCTGCAATTTAACACAGAGTTTTGCCTTTGCATTTGATTTTAGAAACAAGGTACTAAATGGATACAAGTATTGAAGCAAGGTAATCCAGATTTCAGACTGAGCCATCCTGTCTTGGAACAGTAAATCTTAGATATTACAAGACATATTTGTGTATTTTGAATAGTGTCCTTTTTTTACCCCCCAAAAATACTCTGAAGTCCTGTGCCAGAAGGGAGTTCTTTAAAGTACCAGTAACATGGTTAATTTATCTTAAAATTGCTGATAATATTATGCAACAAGGAATAAATTTGAATTACTGGTATATGAACCTTAAATAATTTTAATAGAAATTTTACTATAATTGAAGTTAGAACATTTGCTGTTGTTCAGATTTTTTCATTTTTAAAGACAGCTCAATTTCAAGTTCCAGAGATAGTTGTTGTAGCTTGGTAGCTGTAATGAATCATTAATTTGTGAAATATCCTGTTAAAACTTCCTGTCAAAGATTTATGTGCAGCTTATGGCCATGCAGTTACCTGCGAAAAATAAGGTGAGGTTTACCCTGAATTGATCAGAGCCCTGCTGAGTTGAAGCATGAAGAAAAATTGCCTTGTCCTTGGCTGCCACTGCTGGGGTGGCAGAACCCTGCCAACAGTGCAGACACTGTTGGGCCAGCGAAAACGTGGTTTGTTCCTGGGGGAGGTGGCAGCAAAGTGCCTTCCCTTTGCCTGCTTGGGCTCAGTGTGGCCCGGGTCTGATGGTAAAGCTGCCTGGTGTGTATACAGGGCCTCAGCATTTCTGAAGCAAAAGTGCAATTACTCTCTTTGTGTACTAGGTATCTGCAGGGAAAAAACACATTTCAAACACCTAAGGTTGTGATTAATCCACTTGTATGAGTAGCTCTGAATTAAACGGAACTGCTGTGGGTGAAAGGTGTAACGGAGCAAGTTGTACGAACACCTAATGTGCATCCTTTCTTCTAGTCTGAGCAGGAAGTACGAATTACTCAGAGTGAATTTGACCGTCAAGCTGAGATTACCAGACTTCTGCTGGAAGGAATCAGCAGCACACATGTGAGTGTTCAAAAGGGTTAGAGGGGGAAAGTCAAAACCAGTGCCCTTTCTGTAAATAACTACAGTGAGATACTTGGGAACTTTGCTGGCATTTGGTTTTGTTGTTTTTTTTTTTCTTTTTGGAATTCTAGTTTCATATCCACTGAATTTAACTTTAGTCTCCTGTTAATCTTGAGAATGCAGGAGCTTTCATTCTTATCCTTTAAACTCAGCTTTCCATTTGTCAGATCAACTGAATGTTGAAACCACAAAAACATGCTAAAATATTCTGCAAATAGGTAGATTCTGTAAATAGTAGGTAAATGGCACAATGCTTGTACAGCACTTACTTCTTGTGCTCAAATATGTTAAGTTTTGTGACATTTTATCCCAGATACCTTGTAGATTCAGGCACTGTGCCTGTGTGGCATAAATCCCTGTGTGCCAGTGTTGGTGTCAGCACCTCACCAGCAGACCAGTCTTTCTAATGCCGCGTGGTACTTTTACAGACTGAAAACTCGTGTTCTTTGCTGTGTTGTAGGCACATCATCTTCGGTGTCTGAATGATTTTGTTGAAGCTCAGATGACCTATTATGCACAATGTTACCAATATATGTTGGATCTCCAGAAGCAACTTGGAAGGTAGTAACACTGTAAAAACTTCAGGAAAAAACCCACGTTTTTTTATTCTGAGTGCTTATGAATACTAGGGAAACTTAAACTGATACAACAGTTTTGAACACCCAGGCATGCTGTGTGGGCTGAAATATAAAATATATCTGTTCTCAGTGAATAATATGTAATCACCCCAGTGCAACTGTTTGTTTAAGCCTACACACAGCACTGCTGCCTTTTGACAGTTGATTTACTGAGATTTTCTGTATTTTGTGATAAAGGAAGGTGAGCCTGTGGTGACCTCATCTAATGGCACAAAAGAATTTCTGGACATTTACTTGTAATCATTCAGTTGTCTTATGCTTCCTGTTATGAAAGCGCTATGCAGTGTGGGGAAAGTTCTTGTACTGCCTGTAAATTCCTGTTACCTCTTAATCTGCCGCAGGGCACCACCTGATTTTCAAAGAAACTATGTTCTCTACTGTTAAGTGAGTTGCCAGCATAGATACCGCATCTAGAGAGAAATACTTCCTAATATTTATAATCAGTAATTCAAAGCACTCATAGTGGGATGAGCAAGGTTGTCTAGTTTTGCTCTTTCTTGTGTTTAGCATTTTTAAAGTAAGAGAAGAAGCTGTCTGCGTTAGTTTTTGCTTATAATCGTTTTTGTGCAATTGGTCGTGTAAAGAGATCTACATACTTAACTTTTCCTAAAGTTTCCCTACTCTAATTCTTCATAAATCAACCTTTCTTATGGTTATACCAGACTGTGTTATCTAGGTACGCGTATGCATTGAAGGACTGGCTGTACTTAGAAGTTTACAGTAGTGTCTATTATAAATAACTGTCTCTATAAAGTATTTCTGTTTATGTTTTTTGTGACAAGGAAGTACAAACAAAAGTGTTCTTCAGCCTTGTTCTTTTCCTGACTTGCAGCTTCCTGTGGTGTTTGATTTCCTTTCCGCAGTTTGTTTGAGTAGGTAGTTTAAGGACTATTAAAAGTCTCTTTAAAAGTGTGATTTTTGAAAAAAGCTACATCTTCAAAGTTATATTCCACTGAAAGAAGTATTCAGCTATAAAATCTGGTAAAGCGTGAATGCGAATTGTAGAACTGAAAGCTTGAAAATAAACATTTGCTGGATTCAGGGCAAACACCTCTTAAATTAGAAATTAAGTGAAGTGTATTTACACAACTATTTTGAGATAACATTTTTTTAATATCTGTATATTAAATATAATATCCTGGAATATTCACCAAGCAGAACGCTTTAAACATAATACCCTTAACCTAGGGAAGAACATATTTCTCTTCAAAATCCCTTGCTTTACTATGCATAGCATGTCCAGAACAGCTGTCTTCATTTAAAACTTTTGTAAGCTGCTACCAGCTATAAAAAAGTGTATTTGAAGAAAATACTGCCTTTAAAAAGCAGAAGAGATGTATCTTTGTGTGACTCTGATCTTTTTGATAAACTTACTCTGATTGCTAGAAGACCCAAAGCGTGGAAGCTTTGTAAAATCCTAAATGCCTCAGACAGCCGGGTGAAGTGTCTCTGTCTGTGTGGGTTAAGACACTGATGGTATTAAATACTGAGTGTGTCTTCCCTTCCTCATGCAAAGCTAAGAGCCATGAGGGACTTACTTTTGTTTTGAGGTTGGTGGACCAGAGGTGTTCAGCCTCTAAGTGAGATATCTTGTTGCTTGAAACAGAGACCTGGTGCTCAGGATAGATGCACAGAATAAGTTTTACTGGGGTCAGAATCTAGGGCACTGATTTTCCTGATATACTCT